CAGCTCTGCTGAATTTTGGAATTCAGAGCGGTCCTTTAAAATGTTTTGGTCTTTTATGCCTGCAGCATGTTGTGCTAATTCTTACTGGAGGTGAGGGAGGCTGGCTTTGCGGATGCTTAGGAGCTTATGTATGTGGTATAACCTGGACTTCTGCAATGCAGAGCTTAAGTAACTTACAAAATAATTTGTTTAGTGCCTCAAATGTGAAATTAAGCAAATAATTTCAAGTGATCACATCAGTCCAAATTTCTGTAAGTTTGGAAAAGCTGTGTGAAAATCCTGGGTTGTGTTTCAAGTCAAAACTAGCCAGTCCCTCAAATGTCAGTCTTTGACAACTTGTACAAAATCTAATATAAAAGCTGAAATGATATTGCAGCAGCAAAACGACTCCAAGTTGTTGTGTGCAGGGTTTTTTTTTTTCCTTTTTTGGATGTTGTGTGCTTTTTCAGGGTGGTTATTCTCTCTTCTGTGTTACAGTGAAGGAGGGAGAAAGGGCAGCGCTGAGAGCATTGTCAGGGAAGTGAGCGGAGCCTGTTGCCTTGGCTTTGCTTCATCTCTGTTGATTTGCTTTGGATGTTATTGTGCAAGCCTCGGTGAAGGTCTGAGTGCAACTGCGTGCTGCTGGACTGGCTCACCTGGGAGACTGCTTTTACAGACAGACTGAAAACAACCTGCAAAAGGGTGGTTATTGAGAAGTTGGGCCTGTGCCCTGATGCTGGTTCCTCAATGGGTAGTAAAACCACCCCAACCTTTCAGTTGACCTTGTCTGGGTCAAAACTATCGTGAAAGTTGCTCTCTCATTGTGTTCTTTCCTAGCTCTTGGCTTTTCCAAGGGCTTTGCTGAGATGTTGCATGTTTTGGCAGCATGAGCAGAGGAACGCTGAGTATCAAACCAAGAGGTCCTTCATTCAGCACAAGTGCAATGCAAGGCTGATTCAGTTGTGATGCAGGGAGGGGAAGAGGTTACACGTCATGAGGGACCTCAGCCATGGGACCTTGATGGTCCATCCTTCTTGCCAGGCTGGCCCAGGAGTTGTGGACTTGGCTTTAGTGTCCTATCCTGCTGCTTCCTTTGCCTTGAGTTGTTGCTTTTCCAAGATGATCTGCAGAGGAAAGATGTTAGAGGACAGCGAATAGCTGTGAGGGAGAGATTCTGGGCATTGCCATCGTCAGCAGGATGTCACCCGAAACAGTATTCCTATTTCCCACCCGCTTCCTATGGCCCTGATGGGAGGAGGAACATGAACATCTCAGGGAGGATCTGACACCTTTTGGTAGATGCCCGGCTTGTATTATGAGCTGGGTTGGCTGGAGCAGCTCCTGCTTCTCATGGTGCCCCTGTGCTGAAGGAGGGTGGCCTGGGGCCCTCCTCCTCCTCCTCTTCTCCGTAGGGAATGGCGGAGATGGGCACAAGCCTCCTCTGAAATATTTGTTTTAAAAATACTTGCCGATAAAAATGACTCTCTCCATTATTTCATTAAGGGATTTAAAACGGGCTTCCTAAACCTTGAGTCATCAATGAAATGAGCAAGCGAGAACTGCGGCAGGCCCCGCTGGAGGGTGACTCACGCTGCGTGGTGAGGCAGGCTCTGGGTTTGCAGGGGACTCTCTCAATGTGGTGATGCTGACACTTCCCTCGGGGCCTCCTGGCACGGCCACAAGCTCCCTGGCCTCCTGAGCAGGAGCAGCAGGTCTCGCAGGGCTTCTGCAGCTCTCAGATTTAATTTGAGAGCAGAGAGACTGTGCAGCCATCGTGGTGCAGCTCTGCAGAGACCTCAGCCTCACACCGATGCGCAGGAGCAGCCAGCAGATCGCCCTCGCGAAAGGCAGCAGGTCAACCAATAAAACTGCATGCATGCATGCAGGTATTTGATTCATATATGTGTATGTGTATCTATGTGCGTGTGTATGTGTGTGCACGTGTGTATATATCTATATAGATACGTATATAAACGCCTTCAGATCCCCAATCAGATCAGGAGAAAAGGAGAAGGGAGAAGAAAACACCGGGTCATCTCTTGCTCATTTTGGGGAGCTCTCTGCCCTTTCGGTTCTCAGGCACAGGTGAGTTTGTAGCATCCAATAACTTGGGAAAGAAAAGCCAGTCCCAGCTCCCTTTAAGCGCTTTCTAATCACTACATTCAAGCTTTCACCAAAGGCCAGCTTCCTCGGCTGGGGACATCTCTCCAGGTGCCACCCTGAGCTCCAAGCGTTCCCGGAGCCATCGTGTCAAGACTATGGTGGAATATTATCAGATTCTCACTTTGGGCAAAATTGCTCTGGCGTTCTTGTTTTTGCCTACACCGTGTCGTAGTTGCTGTACGAACTCAGTACAGACCCAAAGAATCCTCTGGGCCTCTGCTTTCTTGTTGCTTTCCTGCCGCTGATCTGTTTCCATTTCTGCTGGTTCCCTTCCACCAGAGATTTCCATTTTTCATGGTGGACTATCACATAGCTTATCATCTACCTCTGCCAGCAAACTCTACAGGGTCCTTTTCTGCGACTCTCTGCATGGCTTCTGTTACGATATCATGTGCGCATATCTTGACATCTCCTTCCAGTTATTCTCACCATCTTGCTTGGAAGGGGGTGAAAGCACATCCTTGTCCTGGGTTTTCCCACTGGCCCAGACCACGTTCTCCTCCCTTTGTGAGCTTGTAGCAAGTTTTGGGGTGTTCGGTGGTGATTCATGCAGTCAAGTGCTTTCCAGCTTCTCTCCAGGAGCCCTGTGGATCCACTACCATGTTGCTTGCTGTGCGTGCTCAGCAGAAGGAGATGAAGTGTGGTGGGACTGGTCTGTGGAGTTTCATCTGATTGCAATGCGACATCCCCTTCTCTTCTGGGAAAACAGGAGGGCTTTATAGGAGAATGATGGGGAAACAGGGGTATCAAGAGGGATTAAAGGGCTCAAGATCAAACAGCAGCAGCGTAGGGGCAGAGTGAGGAGCGGATCCAAGGCTCCTGGCTCCTGCTCCGGGCCTGATTCCTTGGACTATTTTGCTGGAATTCTTTTCTCTTTCTTTTTCCCCTTGTTTTCTGTTTTCTTGATATGGTTTAAAATCAGATATTTTTATTAGTCATTATTCCAGTCACTCTCCACTTTACTGTTTTGTTTTTCCTCTCTGCAACGTTATGCTTCGTTGCTTCATTCTGGATATCTAATACTGGTTCAGTTCTCCATGACTTTTCAAAACCAGTTGCTTGATAAGCTTGCGTTAACCCATTCCCTTATTCTGCTCATGGAACTTCTCCTGCCAGGGACTTGCAGACTGCATGGGCTTGCAAGCCGTGGAGTCAATGAAGGGGTTGGCAGCTGTGGTTCTCTTCCAGCAGTTGCTGGAAGAAGTTTTTTTTCCTCCCCCCAGCCCTGCCAAATTTTCCAAGTGGTTTTCCCTCATGAGCGAGCATGGCTGCAGAGACCTCCAACTCTGTCCTGGATGGAGGTGACACGTGGTTAATGCTTGAGACACCAGTGGCTGGGTGAAGGAGCCATCTTCTGCTCCACTATCATTGGTGGCAGTGGATGTCCCCAGCAGTGATTGTCCTGCTGGCATTTCTGGATCCAGTCAGATCGGATCCAGCCTTGAGCTGGGGACAAACTTCCAAGGTCCTCCTGGGGTCTTCTGCTGTGAACGTTGGTGGGGTTGGGGGTCACCGTGTGCAAGGCAGGTCCTCCACGGTCCTTAGACCCCCTGGGGAAGGAGGGGTGCCTACAAGCCGGGGCCTTCCCTCCCGCGTGGCGCGCGGGAAGCGGCGCTGGCGGAAGCGCGGGGCTCCCGCACACCTCATTAGTACCGACAGCAGCGCCCGGCTCGGGTGGGTCTGTCTGTCTGTCTGTCTGCCCCGGGATGGAAGCGAAGGAGTTGAGGGCACATCGCAGCCTCGCTGCATCTGGTCCTTTGAGGGGGCCAAGGTGCCTCCAGGAGCCTCCTGAAGCGTTTGCCTCGGGTCTTGCCCCGTGCTCCACCAGGATGGGCCTTGGAGTGGAGCCACAGGGCACCCGCCACCCTCAGGGCTCCTGGGTGACTCTTGCGGGGGCTCTAGGTGCCACCGTCGCAAGGTGCGTTCGGGATGAGAGCAGTGAATGTATGGGAATGTAGAGCCTCATGCGAGCTGGTCCCCTGGGCCGGTGGGAGAAGGCACGGCAGTTATGGCACGCGCCCTGTCCTGCGCACGCGCCTGCCCTGCTCCTGGAGGAGGAGGTGCAGAACGCGTGCGGCCGCGTGGCAAGATGGTCCTCAGGAGAGCACGGCCAGCAAGGAGTCATCCCTCGCCGAGAGTCCCCTTTGACTAGACAGTGTTGCTGGTGGAGCTGGTAACCCTTGGGATTACCGTATAGGAACCTCAGCTCACCAGGTTGTCTCAGGCTTTTAGGCATGCACTTGGGGCTTGGTTGAGTTTTTCTAGGCAGAAGACTTTTGTGATCATGTCCCCAGGGAGAGGCTGAGGGACTCAGGGTCAGTCTTGCACTTTGCCAAGGGCTTTCTGTGGGCTCCGTCTCTGCCAACCCTCATCCTCCTGTCCAGGCAGGCTTGAGGGGGCAAGAGCTTCCTCCTGGCTGCAAGGTGCCACACATCTGCAACTCAGGAGAGACATAAACATACTTGACTGGATTCGATTCACCTCGTACCTCTGTTTTTATTCGTTCTTGTTGGCCTGAGAGGCTGCGAAGCCACCTCAGGTCTTGGGAAATGTTGTTTTCAGCCACTGACATGAGAGCTGGTGGTGTCCCCCATGCACACTCCATAATCCCCTGAACTGGTACTGCTAGCAGCAGCAGTTGTGTACTGCCAAGATGCTGAGATCTGGGGTGTTTTATGTCCCGGGTCACCACAGAGTCTGGCTATGGGACATTTGATCATGAGAGGTCGTCTGCTGCTTACCTGTGACAACCGGCATGGAGGGCCCATACCCACTGCCCAGATGTACCCTCCCCTCGTCCTCCTTGGTCCATTTGCTCAGTAAAGGGTTAAACCTCCATTTTGTCTTTTGTCTTGCAGAGCCTGGGGTCAGCCGACAAGAAGGACTTTTACCAACCCAAGTAAGTGCCAGTAGCCGTGGTGAGTAATTGCATGGAAATTCCCAGTTGCTCCATATTATCGAGCAGCTCTGTGGCTTGCTAAGATTAGACATTTCAGTGTACAAGAATAGCTGCGGCAATTACACAAGCGAGGATGACAGTGGAAGGGCTGTCAATCACTTTGGCTTCAGGGCATATGCAAATCACTGGATCCGGTCGGGAGGAATGGAGACAGCTTGAGCGAGCCCCAGGGACGGAGCCCGTACCTGGTGGCCGGGGCCGTGGGGGCGGCAGGGGTGACCTCTGGCTCCCTTGGCCCCGGCCTTGCACGGCTCAGCTGCTTTGGAAACCCGGCTGATTTAGTGCTGCGTTGCAGCTGGCTGCTGTTAGAGCACATCAGCTTCGCCGGGCTGGTGCTTTGACGTTGATGCCTGGCTTTTTGCAGCCGCTGCAAGCGTTCTGTAAAGCACGTGAGGGTGCAAGGAAAGGAAGAGGGCTCTGCGGAGCCCTCCGATCTGTGCGCGTGAACAAAAGCTCTGCAAATCACTCCAGTAACACAAGCACTTGCTTACTTAGTACATGCCCTTGGCCCCAGCTCGGCGCTGCCCGTAACAGTCTGCAAGCGAGAGAGAAGGGAGCACTTTAAAAGGCTGTCAGCCCCCAAGACCCTTATTAAAATGCAAACCTGCGCTCTCGGGCCATTTATATTGCTGCACCCAGCGTTGTCAGAGATCACTGGAGAAGGGCACCTTCAAGTCAAGAGGGAAATTTGGCATCAGGATTGTTTGAATGATGGCAGCCTCAAGAGGTTCAGGTCTGGAGCTGGCCATAAGGCATCTGTGCACTGTGCTGCTCGTGTTCGCTCGTGGCGGGTCGTATTGCTCCTGCTTGTGTTCCAGGGAAGTGGAATGGCAAGATGTTCTTGAGCCTTTTTTGTTTTGAAAAAAAAAAAACAAACTCCGTAGGTATTTTTTTAGAGGTTGTTCTTGTTACAGAAGTTGTGGAAATGTGCTCTGTTGTGCAGGACTGTCGATGGAGGCTGTTTCTGGAATATTCAAAATGAATTGGTTGAAGAAAGGGGAAAAAAAAGCTTTTCTGCAAAAATCACTCTACTTTTGTGTTGGCTGTTTCCTGTTTGCTTTCCAAAATAATCCTAGAGATCTAGTCCTTAGCAGTGCACAGGGTGTGCCGTAGGCACGACACGACCACCCTCCCTCACTGTCTGATTTACTCTTCCTCTAAACAAATATTTCAGTAGCACGCTTGGGATTCGAAGCTTTATCCCAAAGCATCTTCCGTTCACCCCCAAGGCAGTGGTGATCATCAGCTCTCTGAGACCACTGGCAGCTCAAGACTCCTCAAAGTCAGGCTAAAGCCATTCCCAAGGCTGTTTAATCCCACCAAGATTTCTGGGAGATCAAAGGGATATACCAGGAGTTTAAGGAATCAGCATGGATGCCGTGACGAAATCAACACACATTTGGCAAAGGATTTGTAAATATGCTTTTGTGATCTTTAAAAATAGTCTTCCAAACTGTCCATGCTTCTTGCTGTAGCACTATTCTCTCTTGCACCGCACGCTTACAAAAGGTTAAGGCATCTTTAGCATCCCTTGGCCAACAGAAGCTTTTGTGAGACTTGAAGACAGAAGTTCGGAGGACGTACACTGAGAGCTCATTCCTACTGGACAATTTTGGAGTTAGATACAAATATTAGTCTTATTATATAGCTCATCTCATCAGAGAACATGGGGGTCTCAGCTCACTGACATGAAAAAAATTGTTGGGTCAGAGCGGTGGGTGCTGGTGCAGGAAGTCTTGTAGATAGAGAGTGTCTTACTGGTGCTCCCTGGTTCCCTGTTAGCCTCTCTGGTAAAAAACAAACAAGCAAACAAAGAAAAAAAGTGACTTTAGCGATAATACATATATGTTGGTGCCCCTCAGCTCTTCTCCTTAGCCACTTTTGTCTCTTTTTCCCCATGCGACAAGGCTCAGGGACCACCATTGCATGGACTGTGACCTGACTCATCAGGACATGACAACTTTGGTTAACCCCTGTGCTATTTACATCCCTGTGTGGTTGTTTGGTGCTTTCTCTGCTGTGAGGCTGGTAGAGCCTAAGGCTGTGGTGTTGCCTGGCCCCGCTGTTGTGCTGTGGCTTTTTGGTCTGCCAGTTGCTGTTCCAGGCAGACTTGCTGTCCGCCTGCAGCCTGGCCTGCCTAGCTGGGCTGGACCTCAGCATCTGGCAGGACTGGAGCCTCTGTTCCTCGAAGGAGAATGGTGCTTTTCAACAGCTCCCGCGCTGGCAGCACCTCCAGATGTGCACAGGTGTGAGCCCTCTTCCGCAGCCCCGCGCTGTTGCGCGCTGTGCTTGGCCCCAGCGCGGTGCTGCCTTGGCAGCCGTGGGAGCTCTGTGCGCAGGCACTGGCGGGAGGCATGGGAGAGCTCAGCACTCCTGCAGCACCTTTTGTGGACGTGTTCTCCGAGCCCTGGGCAAGCCAGCTGATCCTAGCGACCTGGCTGGGAGCAACACGACGTGGGAAGCAGCCTGCGGCTGGGTCCAGAATCGAGTTGAACACTGATGGTTTATGAACACATCTGTGTGGTGATCTGGCGATCCGAGAGAAGTTTGGCCACAGATGTCGGTTCCTCTAGCTCCAAAACATGAGAGCAAACTTTATAATTCATCTGCTTTTCCTGTTCTCTGCTTCCAAGACAGTGGTGGGCTCTGCCGAGCGTACTGCTCTCACTGCAGTAGGCATGTCAGAACAGCATCCTTGGTCTCTGGTCAGTACTGTGGGCTCCAGTTGCCTGGCATATGACAGACATAGGTTATAGGAGTGTAAAAACAGTCAAGACATCACCGGTTCATCTCCCTTTCACCCAAGTGAGAAACCTCACTGTTTCTGAGATATTGGTGTTGTCCCGTTCTTAAATATCAGTATGTCCCTGTCCTTAAAGCTTGTGGCTCACCTTCATACACATCAACCGCTGGGCATAGGTGCTGTGCTGTTGACCACAGAAATCTTGGGAGTTACGCTGTTTTATCAGTGCTTGTCCTGGGAGTACAGAGAGGTGCCAGTCTTCACCCCGCTTTGATAGCCCTCATGTGAGGCTCTTCCTCACTGAGCAGTCCACCAAGAAGTTGTGAGGCAAAGATCTCATAGTAGATTGCCCAAAATTTGGAACTGCAAGCACTCAAGAAAGAGTAGTGAACTTAGACCTTAATGGCTGGAAGTCAGAGGGGCCAGTGACTGAGCCATCAGGACCTGAAATGATGCTGCTCTCTGCTCTTCTCCTGGAAGCACTTTTATTTCCTTTGGTGGTTATCTATGTTCCTCCTGCCAGTGTCAGGCATTGTGGCTCCTGGCTTTTTGTGTGGCCATGAGATAATACTCCCTCTTTCAACATTAAAGCAAGAATGCTGCTTGTAGTCACCCAAGTTGAAGCACCCATCTTAGTAAAATACACCACCTGAGAATGGGACAGGCTAGAGACCAACTGAGGAAGAACAGACGCTCCAAGTTTCTGTGGCTCAGCCTCCCGAGCGAGGAGTCTGGCTGCTTGGGGATGACCCATGTCCACACTGGCTTTACTGCCTACCGTAGCTGCTCTGACCTTGTGCTGTGTCCTCCTAGAGCAGGCGCGGGCATCGTTCTCACACTGCTCCTGGAGCAGCTTGTTTGGGTGTCAGTGTGTGCATCGTATACCCTTGTCTTGCCTTACTTTGATCCTATCTTGGCAGATCCAGTTTGGGAATGTGCTTTCCCCATCCCAAAGCTCCCTGCAAGCCCCTTTGGCTGGGCTTAGCATTCCTGGGGTCTAGGGAGGAAGTGCCATGTGGGCCAAACCAAGCCCCTGAGCTGCTCACTAGTTTCTTACCCCAATTTAGAAAATTGCCAGTAGAGCTGTAATGTTCTCAGTGCTTCCAAAGGTCAGTCTAAATTGCTGACAGAAGGCCCTTGTTTACTTTGTGGAGCAAATCAAGGCAGTTTCCTGAGGAAAGATTACTTGCTGAAGACCCAAGGACCATGCTCAGAAAGAGGAATAGGATCTTCTGAGCCAGAGGTGCTTCTGCTTAATAACAGGCTTGGAAGGAGCACTTGGTAGGCCCTGTAAGTGCCCCAGCACTAAGACAGGCTGATGTGTTTTTGTAATTCTCTGTAATATCCAGTTGCTCTTTGGTGTCAGGCAGTGATTAGAACTTGGTTTCTTCAACCCCAGAAAGAAATCTTGGTTTTAATAATAATCATACAACCTCTAGCAGAGGTGGACTGAAGTACCTGGTTTTAATTAAAGTGTCACCGATCTGCTGCATGAGCAGGAGCTGTTTGCTCTCACCCCGTGCTATCTCCTCTGCCAAGAGCAATGCTCATCTGTCCAGAGAGTCTTCATCCTCAAGCAGTTATTATTTGCCAGGCTGTAGCAATACAAAGGTCCTGCACTTGATCTGCTTGCTCAGGCTCTCGGGAAGGTATGACCATGTTGAAGAGACTGGATGCCTCAGAGCCCACAGCGTGCTCTGAAAGAATCCCACAGCCCCTATTTATGTGCACCTATCTTATGCCTCTGTGCTCGTTTCCGATTAAAGGCTCCTGCCCGCGTTTTCCGCGTTAGCCCCAGACGTGCACACACGCAGCAAGCCTTTGAAAGCCCTTCCATAAAGCAGCGTCTCTTGTTTGCTTTGCCTTGCGGTGTCTGTTACGCCAAAGTGTCTCCAGAGCTAACTTATTGTCACCCTGCTCTTAAGATAGAACATTTGATCTCCTAGACTAAGGCCTTTCCGTGCCAGCGTTTGGATGAAAGTGCATGTTTTATTGATGAATCATTATCTCATAAAATCTTGGTGTTTTAAAGGATCCAGAGATCAGCATCTGCATTTTGGAAGCATTAAAGGGTGTCATCACAAGCTCCTCCTAAGTGGAGTGTTGCCTCTTTAATTCAGGCATGATTATTACAGTAGTAGCCATGATAATAATACACACACATGCCATGTTTGACTTATTTAGCAGTGTCCAAGAG